AAAAAAAAAAAAAAAATGGAACAATCGATCGAAGGAACATCGGGCGATTGGTTACGGAGCACTTTTGTGCACATTCAGTTGCATTAAACCCCGAGCGCATTAACAAACACTTCGGATAACGGATATCGTGATTTTATCGTGAATAAACATTGCCACGATAAATCAAGGTACAAACAGTAATAAAAACAGACTATCACACGTCATTACATTTTGAAACGCACGCATCCTGGAAACAATGGAATCATGCCAGGGAACTGCCAGGTCTCGTTTACGCTCCCGTTCATCTATACATGCAACTATGCAACTGCAATTCGAACCAGTAGAATAGGCTGTCCGGTAACAGAATGTGTTTCGCCGGCAAATATAAACACAGTGTGCGAGAGAAAACGTTTGTCGAGATCGTCACCCGCAAATATCTCCATTTCCCTCGACATTGACAATAGAAACATTCAGGTTTTACGTCAAGGAGTACAAATGGCGATTGATTTTTTTTACGCAAAATACTAATCCACGGCGCGGGCGCAGAAATGAATATCTCAGATGCAAGGAAGTTCAGATCAATGTGTTTCAATACCGTCAATTTCGACTGTGAAGTCTTTGAAAAATGAATTTATTTTAACGATGAGGTTGAGAAATTAATGATAAAGGACGAAGGACGGAGAAGTTGAAGATGATAGTAATATGATAGGTTTTTAATAAATAAATAATTTAGTAGAAAGTTTATTATCTTCCTTAATAAAAAATATATTATATTTTTATTCATATATATAAATTATATATTGTATTATATTATATGTATATTCTTATTTCTAGTAGTTTATTTTTTTTACTTTAACTTGCATCGATTATTATTTTACAATATACATTATGATTTAACATACATTCGGTTATATTGATTAATAAATTAATAAAACACTTATTAATATATAAAGATTAACAGAAATAACAACAACTTTTTTCTTCATAAGCCAAAATCTCGTAATTAGTAAAACAAGAAAAGGAAAATGAATAATATTTGCCTGAATGTTTTAAACTTTTCCAAATTTAAAATATTTGGTGTATTTGTAATATATATTATTACATGAATAAGATTTAAAATATATAGTATAGTACATCAAATAACAATATATAATAATGTAATATATAATTACATTTATAATTACATTTTGTTGTTTGATCAAATGTAAAATAATAAAACTAAGAAATGTAAAATAATTAACTGTCTGTTAACAGTTAAATTTTAGTTTCGCGCCACTGCACGCTGGCTCGAATAAAAATCGATTTATTGCGGAAATGTATATACGTGAAAGCTCGTTGAAGGGAAAGCTGTCGTGGTTCACGGATGTTTGCACAGAACTTGGAAGAATGTTGCCCGTGCCACTTGGTTCTCGATTTTTCAGCAGGCTTGTTTCCCAGTTACTGACGTTCGAACAAAGATCTACGTATTTGCCTCTTTCACTTTCCTTTTCAAGGGGATTCGCGTAGTTTCATTCTTCGACGGTGTAAAACATTTTAGTTGATGGCTGTGAAAATGTTTGCTACAAAACACACTCGATGTCAGAATCATTTAGAAGATGTTATTTTCATCTTTCTTTTTCGCTCTTTTCTCCAAAGGGAAATATCTTTATGCGTGATTATTGTGTATTATCGAGTAAAAAATTAAAAGAAATACGTGATTATATTGGATCCACTGAATTGTTAGAAATTACATGACCAAGGTAGTAATAGTTTTATAATCTACAATAATTTATATTTGTACATTTAATAATTTATAGTGATAGTTCCACTAGAAGTACTTTTGTAATTTTAATATTTATTACCTTCATATAGTTTTATAGTTCTTTTATTTATTTCTTTTTTATGATAGTTTTAGTAGTTCTAATAGTTTTTAGCTAATATATTATTGTGTTTAATGTTAACTAAAAATGTACAGAATGTTCTTTTATTTATTAATTTAAATGTCAATATAAATATATTATATTATATATATTAATATTTAGTAAATTAGTTTTTAATATAGTATATTTCTATATTATCAATATAGAAATATACTATATTAAATACTAGTGTGTACTATACTAAATTTTACATTAAAGAAATCATAATTAAAATCCTCGAATTGTCTACAGAAGAAAATCGTTTGCTTTTTCATTCGCTTTTCATCTTGCTTCTAAAATTGTCGTACACATCAAAGTCGCAGTTCTGAACTCAATTCGAACTGGCTAACCGAAAATAAAGAACGAAGGAGAGAAATCATTTTTGCAATCTCTGTGTTCA